ATTTTTAAAATATATCTATGAAATGTGCATTCACTGGGTGTGTTCCTTCACTGGTTGGTTTATTACATCAGGTATATATATTTTTTTCGTCAGAAAAATTTTATAGCGCCACCTGAAAAAAAGAGAAAAACAAACTAATATACATCCCAAAAGTTAAAAAAAAAAAAAAAAAAAAAAAAAAAAAAAAAAAAAACAGAAATGTTCTGCGAGAGATATTTTAAGTTGAATTTTAATTACTTTAAAGTTCCATTTAATTTGCTTGCAAAAGTTTTTTTTTAAATTTTTTTTTCAATTTCTGCGTCAGACTTTTTATTTTATTTATTTTTTATAACCATCGTTGAACAGTCGACCCAATTTTGAGTTTTCGACTATCAATGTTCAGCTCCGTAGCTTTGTAATTTTGAACTCAATCCAGAAGACTTGATCAAGTATGGGGTGAAATTTGCCTCCGTGCAGGACTTTTCGATGGAATTAACCCTAGTTTGTATTACATGGAGAGGAAAACCACGAAAACCTTCCATGGTTAGCCTGACGGCAAGGGGACTCTAGCGCATGATCCGTCGACTATTGAGGATATTTTGCGTCAGCATTGTGGTCGGTGGAAGCCGGGTGCATAATTCGAATCGATCAGCCATCGCTGGGATTCTAACCCGGTTTACCTCATTGAAAGACGAACACTCTATTCCGTGAACCACCTAAGTTGAATATCCAAAATAGCTGGAAGAAGTTTTGCCACAAACAGGTCTGTCGAAAGAACTGGCAAGGCCAGCGATCGCCCCAAGCACGAGATTGAAGGAAGCGCCGAGCGAGACCCAGATTTAATGTTCACTAAATTATTGATTTCCTCCTTTTTTAAAATGTTGTTTATTCGAAATATATATTTATAAGTTTTTATTTATTTTTATTCCATATCCTTTGATTTACTTTTTTTATGGTGAAAAATATTCTATGTAAGAGTTTCATTTAGGCTTCACGCCAATATTCCTTAAAAACTAATGCAAGAAAAAAACAGAGGGAAAAGTGACCTTCAAGTGACCATGTGGACTTATGTCTCCTTTTATTTAGTCTTAGATTCATTCTTGTCAATTTAGTGTGTTATGATAGTTTTATGAAAATAGGCAGAATTGAGGTAAATCTTAGACTAAAGACAGGCTACGACTGTTTAACAGAACATTTGTCAGAAATATACTGCAATTTGTCGCATCTGTAAAGTGGGCATCATGAATTTTGAACACCTTTTCCCAGATTTAGATATAGTCTCAGAGACTTTGTAAAATTTCTAAATTATATTGGAAATTTTGTGAACTTTTATAAATCGAAAACTACCTGTCCTTTTTTTTTCCTTGTTTGTTGTTTGTTAATCCTTTTCTAGTTTGTAATTATCTTGTTAGTATGTTTATGTTTATATTGTGTGTTGTTGTTGTCGTTTGACAAGTCAGAAAAGTTAAAGTACAAGGCAAATGGAACGGAAGCACAGCCCTGGCCACATCTCATAGAGGGTTCTCCATTGCCTCGAGAGGTATACCTGATTTGCATAAAGACAATATTTTTTCCTATAGCTTGTATTAGTTTAAAAATATTGATCTATATTACTTTATCTGGGCCATTTGCAACGCATATTGATTTAGTTATGAAGTTAACTCCAAATTACGAGACCTAGAGCATATATAAATTGTTCAATGGGTTAAAAGAAATTACCCTTAATTTTAATAATTTTCTCGATAATTTCAAATTTCTGATAAAAAATTGTAATTATTCAAATACTTTTAAATTGCATTCCATTCACAAAACAAGACAAATATGGAAACGGAATATTAACATAAAATTTTGATTAATTTCGCTTGCGACAGAGATAGTGTATGTTCAGGTTTGAATCAAGAGTCAATCATTGCATTGTTTATTAACTGAAAAATGTGGAAAAAGCATTAATTCAACATTCTGTGAAAAAAAAAAAATTCATTTAACTTAATTTCTCTACAAGTATCATTTTATATTTCCATAACTGTTTTTAATTTTTTCGATAACACTTTTAATTTAAATAATTTTTCCAAAAAAGTGATTTTCTTATAAAGTTTAACTATTCAAACTTTAAAACAATTTCGTTTAATAATTTATTAATTTAATAATTTAATTTTTAATAGTTTAATTTAAAACATTTTTGACATACCTCTTTAATTTCTTAACTTTAAGAAAAATTGAAATTTCTAAAAAAATTTAATCTATTCAAACACTTTTAAATTACTCGTAGACTCTACTGATAAATCTAAATAATCATAGAAAAGGAATGCAAATTTCATAATTTCAATTGGACAGCTTCATAGCATTCTCACTCTTTCCAAACCTTATGTTTTTATGGTTGCCAATTATACAACGGAAGTACGCATTTCGGAAATTCCTATTAAAACAAAATTAAACTTAAACTACAGAGCATGTTGGAAAATCTTTGATAAGATATATATTAGCCGTCTAATCTGCTCATAGGGTAAAATATGCCCTATTGAAGTTTAAGTTCATTTACTTTTAGACTAATATAAGCTTCACAACTTTTGTCTTCGTGATGTGATGGTTTGGCTGACTGTTTTCATCAAAACAGGCCTAGAAATCAAATCTCTGCTGGGACTGTTGAATTTTAAGCCTAATTTTCTTTTTCACAAGAGTTTGATAACTATCTCATATATTTTATTCAATTTATAATTCATTATTTTTAATTTAATTTTTTTTTTAAAAATTTAATATTTGAAAACTCACAAATTAATAGATATTTAATTTCTTTAATATTTTAATGAAATATATGGATAATTTAAAAAACATTTAATTTAAAGTTTAAATTAAAATTTTTAAAAATATTTCAGATATTTTTATTAAAAATAAATCTTTTTTAATTTTCTTAAAAAATGGAACTGTTTTAGAAAAATAATTAAAATTAAAAAATAATAATTTATAAACTAAATAAAATTTTTTATCAAATATTTTAGAACAGAACATTAGGACTAAAATTAACAAGCCCCTGTTAGAATATGAATTCAAGACCTGTCTGATTGAAGGCGAAAAGCCAAACAACTATTCCATAATTGCACATAAGTTTGGAAGTTTTTGTTAGTTTGAAAGTAAATGACATGAATTAATGGGGCATATTTTACCATAGGCACAGATTAGACAGCTAATTTGTATCCTATCCAAGGTATTCAAACATGCTCTTCAATTGAAGTTTAACTTTGCTTTAATAGGAATTTTTGAAATGCTTACTTTCTTTCTTAGCAACACCTACGCTTTTGATGCAAGCATTTTATTATTTGGTCATAATTTTTCTTTCAAAAATCTTTCAGAGATACTTTTAAGTAGGTTTGAGTATTTTTGGAAACTATGACGTTAAGTCACATGAATTCCAAAGCTAATTTCAAACCAATTTCGAACGAATTATAGTGCTGAAAATAATTCCACGATTAACTATCGAAGGGATGAAACTAATCAAAATAATTTTTTTCTTCACGGCCTGTAATTATTTATCGCCTTTCAAGTGTTTTCACAGAAAGTGCGCCAATGTGCCACAATTGTGTTCTTTTTTATTAAATCAGTTTCAAATTGAATCTCGTAGTTCAAATGAATCGAAAAAAATCAGAATAAGCTGAAATAATTTAATTATTAGGTTCATTCTCGCTGCCTCATCTTTTTTCGCATAAGAAAAAATCTCACAGGATTGATAAATAGGTGATCGCGACACTCGAATACGCCATCTGAGGAGAAGACCGGCTCCATGCCTTTGGCCCTTCTCCCTTTCTTTCCCTCATCTTTTTAGGAATGTATAGGAATGTATAGGAATGTTTTAACTGTATAGGAATGTACTACGATATTTTTCCTTTTCCTAATATTTTTCTTCCTTAATTAATACAAATATTTTTTAAAATTTCCAGGATACTTTTTTTTAGAATTATGTTTAATGAACTTTTCAGTTCCATATAGTTTCCCAACTTAGAAGATTTTAATCTTTATGAAAATCAAGACAGAAACTTACGTACTTCCTTCTTCTATGACTCTCCACGTGCTTCTGGTGAAAGCATGTGAAGTGTTGCCATAGGTAGAGAGTTCAGCTCTACGCCACCTACAGTCCATTTCGATCGCTAATGGATGATGTTTTCCACACTAGGGAACGCTGCCAGCTCCATACCGCCTATACTTCCGTGTTGCTGTTTTCGGTGTATTTTAATGCCTCTTGGCTCAAAACGTGGTCATTGTGTTTTGAGATTCTTGCAAACGTGTGTTTGATAACTTATTACTTGCGTTTACAGTACTAACAATACTTGTGTTCACAATGCCAAAGGTCCTAACACTAACGTAAGATGGTGCATACGCACAGCTTGCAACAAGAACAAACAGTAATAAACAAATGGAAAGAGGCCAAATCAGGACTGCCAAGAAAGCGAGTTATTCAAAATCTAGTAACCATGTCATCTTTTTTAATAATATATCTATAAATAACTGAAACAAATTTTCACTTAAAACTCACCAGAATAACATTAATAACATTATTATCTTATGAAATACACCAGACTTGAGCTCAGAAATTAGCTAATTTATTTCTTTTATTGAAAACAAAATTATCCGTTTGAAAATATCGCTGTGCAGAATAAGCTGCAGTAAGCAGTTGCAAGTTTTCCAACCGGAACTGGTGCAAATATTGAGCTCGAGATTGTTATTGTTTATATTTATATTGAAAACACTATCCATTGGATTGACTGTTGAAAAATATATACCTGCGAAAAACTAGCCAATCAGGCTCTTTTCCTCATACAATTTGTAAAAAATTTGTCTTCAGTGAGAAGGGGCTGAAAAAAGACGGAAGCCACGTGATTTAATTCCTTACATCCTTAAATGCTATTTCTTTAGAGTAGCTTTTAGCTTTCTTTGAACATACCAATAAGATTAAGGAAAGTGTTCGATATTTAGAATCGATCGATCTCTTTTAATCGATTATTGTTTTTGACGAAGTATATTAAATCGATATTTAAAATGCCCACAAATGAATAACAATCTGTCATTTTACATGTCGCTGTTACATGGTTACACGTCAGTTTTAAACTTTAATAAAGCATGTTAGTAAGTTTTGATGAAGTTCATGAAATAAATGCGTTTTCTTCTAATTTATATAGATTATTCTTTTACAATGTGTACAGTGCGCAAACATGAAAGGAATCTGCGTATCTAAAAGACTTCTTTTTATAAACATACTGTGTTTACTTTGGTAAGTTTCTGTCAAAACAATAATTTTAATGTTTATTATAAAATCACTGGTGAATAGTAATTAATTTTTTTCTGCTTGTTATTATTTACAGACGTGATTGCATGCTTATTAAAAATATTCTCTGCGAATTTTTAACAGTTTAATAGTAGCAGATTTGCCTTTGTATTGTAAACCCCATGAATCATTAAATTTATATTTGTTTTCAAAATTATTTAAATCGTCTAAATTATTTTTAATTGATGAATAGGGTTTCAAATTTAAAAGTTTGATTTTATAGTGAAATTTAAATTGTCAATTTACTTGTTCTTTTCAAAACAATAATAGAAGTGTATAGCCTTTTTTTGAAAAATAGAAAAGAAAAAAAACTGCAGGAAAAGAATATTTTTCAATTAATCTCTTAATTATTCCTTAGTTTAAAACCAGCAATAATTTGTCCTGAAAAAAAAAATGAATAACTTATCATGACAAATGATAGACAAATTGTGTGTTGTCATTGTATTTTCTAATGATAGATTTTGCAAATTATTAAATTGATTCTACCTCTTGTTGCTTCAAATGGTGTGGTTGCTTAGATTTTCATGACCCAATTTTTGTCAATCATGAATCTTAATCTGCTCCCTAATTTTAGTGGTTGCCTTTATTATAACAATTAAAGCTCCAGGGATTGCTAAAGATCTATGTTCGTTCTGCAAAAATTCAAAATTCTGTGGCAGTTAGGAAATTCATTAACAAATGTGGAATTCATTCAATATAAACTCTTGTTGAGTGTTTTGCTCATATGTCTGCTTGTATATTCCTGTTTGATTGTTTGTGTTTCAATATTCTCTCTGAGCTCTTGAGTTTGTATTGTAATGATCAAGCCTTTATAGAGTAGAAAAGATTGAAAGACTAATGTGTACATTTTTGTTGGTTTGTTTATATGTTTGTATTAATTTCTTTTTAAAAAGCTAATAGAATTTAAGGATAGTGGATATTTGGGAAAACTTACAATAAATATACAATGGAACCTCAGTTATTAGGTTTACATCCCTAACACTGCCCCATCACTTAATAAAACTTGGTAATACCTCCTTGAAAATAAATTCCGCACTATGCACGGAGAAATAAAGAGCAGTAAGGCATGAGGCTCTATGGAGTTGTCTTAATCACAACTGGTCATCTTTCAATAGTCTAAATAAATGTACATCCAAACTGATAATGAATAGAAAGGAATTTTCATTGGGGAAGAGAAATTAAGAGCATTTAAGGCATCTTGTAGGGTCTCCTAAACAGTATCTTCTAGTCGAAAAGATCAAAAGATGATACTGTCTAAAGTACTTCACATGAGCATTTTCTCTCCTTTCTTTGCGAAGATAAAAGAAGGTGGAAGGAGAATGATTAATTATTTAGTAGTGAAATAGTTTAGTATTTTTAGTTGTGGATAAGGTAAAAAATTTTACATCCTTAAAAATGATGGAAATTTGCATATTTAATTTCCTTAGAATTTAAAGCAGAAACAGTTTTTTTTTTCAAGTTTAAAAAAATTGGTCTCTGGTTTACAAAGATAGAGAATAACATTTGGGGGCATAAATGACTGTCTACGTCCAGTAAAGGAAGTGCCCGTTTTTAGGAGAATGTACACAATTGTTAAATCATGGAAGATTCCCAGGGAAATAAAAATATGTTCATCATAAGAGGTGTTTGTTTTGTGAGAGAGTTCATAATAGGAGTTATCACTGTAATTTAGCTCACTATTACGATGAAATATGCTATTTTTTGACAAATATGCAAACCAAAAAACCGAAGTAGTCCAGAGAATCTCTTTATATCGATTGCTGATCTGAGAAACTGCCGATGATTTATAATATTGTGATCAGAGTCAAATTTTAGTGGTCTTGGATAAATAGACTACCCTTACTTCTGAGCCTTGCTGTGCTGTTTTCACCATTAATAAGCCATCAAGGTGTTTTAGTGATAATATTTCAGTGTTTCCACTTATGTGCTACAACATATCAAGTATACTAAAAATTCTAGAAGGGACTCAAAAGATAAGTTATAAAACTTCCCAAGGAATGCATAATGCTCCAGCACAAAAAACAATAGCTTGAAGTAAAATTATAACCTAATTTAAGATTAAATTTTTTTTTCTTTATTCGTAGCTCAAAGAGAAAATTATAATCATTTTAACGACCATATTATATTGTTGCTTTTCCTTGATGCAGAGGTATAATCAGTCATATATGCTTGATTGTTCATATAACTTTTTCTTGTTTTGAAGTTCTTTGAATTGGTTATCAACAGATAAAATAATTAAAAACATGCATTTTAATAGATCGCTAAAAAGTAAAAATGCATATTTTAAATGAGGACTCGCTTTTATAGTGAAAAAAGAACTAGAAAGTTGGAATTTCTAGGTTCTATGCCCCTGTAGTTTTCAAAATCTAGTAAAATCTCTGATACTTAGAAGTTTGTAGAACAATTAGGCCTTAATACAAAGCTAAATCATAAATAAAGCTAACACATTTTTTTCAGTCAATGTATTTTAAAGAGAAAAGCAAAAGACTAACTCATTTTTAAACATTTTATACATTATTTTGCATTTTTGCTTTTATTTTACAGCTTTGTAAATTGTTTTCCTTGTAGTCTTGACCGTTATATACTGAAACAATCAAGCTTTGTTTAAAAAATTTATTTTGGATGTGTTTTAGATGAAGGATCTGCTCCCTTTACCTTCTTAGATATCTTTCATTTTGTTGTTAGATCTTTTTCATTAGTGCAAACTCAACAAGGGCTGAAGGTGTAAAGCTTTCATTGTTTTTGTCAAATGCAAGTGCCTCACAAAAGTATATTGTGTGAATACCTGTATTAGGATGCTCTGGGTTGCATTGAATTTTATCTGGTTAATTAACAGTATTAAATTTAAATATATTATTTTTACATCACTTTTTTATCCTACGATGAATAGCCGGTTGCAGCGGTCTCTTTTTTTCAATGACCCTAGCACAAAATAGCCTTCATGTAAAGAGACTCAATGATCAAATAATTAGGGTTGGAAAAACTGTTAAGTAATTGAAGTTCATATTCTCTCTTGAGGAACCCGGAGAGTAATCTGTAGAGTTTAAAAATGTCTATATGGCGAAGGTGATTTTCGAGATAGTATTGTCCATTAACAATTCTGAGAAAAATCAATCTGTTCGGACAGGTCCGTTTAAGTGGGATTGAGAATAAGGCAGTCAGCTATATAGATATGGAGCAAAAAACTTTTTGGGTATCTATTTGCAATAACTTCAAGTACAAGAGCAGGGATGGTATAATTTTTTCTTTGTTGGGCATCAATAGAGAGATTCATAGTTAGGATTCTGAAAGTAGGTGGAAATATCTCTCGAAGGCAAAAATATTGGAGAGATTTTTGTTAACATTTGGATCACTAATTTGGACATAAGGTCTTTTGCATTTTTTTAAGAAACAAATGGTGTGTCATTTTTCAGTTAGAACAGGCCTCCTACACTTTTCAAACTGTCTCTCTCTCTCTCTCTATGGGCACCCAGAGGTTTGAGGCTTGTTTGAATTTCTAATAGGCGTGGAACAGGTTGCAGAGGTAATAAATTTCGCAGCTTTATTTTGGACCTTGCCAACTTAGTCACAACAACTAACGGGGCAAAATATTAACGGCTGTGGCTAGAAATTTGCCGCCATATTCTAGAACAGATCTCACATAATTAACAGTGGTCAGAATGTCTGGTGAGAATCCCCAAGAGGCCAAGCCTTCCTTTTTCTCTTTCTCCAGTCTCTTCTGCAAGTTTCTTCTATGATAATTTATTATCAAGGAACACAACTAGTTATCCAAAATTATCTTGTTTGCATAGATCCTGATTTTTATATCTAATGATATTTTAGTGGTCTTTGGTTGACTAAGCAAATATTTGGTAAACCATCTTCTCAGTATTGACAATCATAGTTTTCCTTTCATCATTCCTCAAGAAGGATCGTGGCATCATTTATATTAATATTAGCAGTGTTAATATTTTGATCTGTTTAGAACAGGGTTGGCAAGATATTGCCGCAGGAGGAAAAAACCATGGTAAATACCGGTAAAAACCGTCCTGGCAAAAACAGGTTTTTGCCAAGCAAATTGGCAAAAAGTGGCAAAAACCTATATTTTCCAAGATGAGAGGACAAAAACACATTTTTGATACAAAATTATTCCTAAAATTGAAATATATACTATGAATATAAATAATTACAAAAAAATTAACAAAATTATTATTCCATAATTAAATGATAATGTAATAATATATCATTTTAGTAGTTTAAAACATTATTGATTGGAACATTTGCGATTATTCTCTTTTTTCCAGAGAAATGAACTTATTTTAAATTAATATAACTATAATTTAAAGCATAAAATATCTATCAACATGTGTAGTTAATTATTGTACAAATAATAATTTTTTATAATAAATAATAATATTATACAAATAATAATATTTATTTATTTGTAAAAAAACATTTATTTTAGGATTCTAAAATGAAAAGAGATCAAAAACTTTCAATCTTTTAAAAATTATTACCCTTATATTAATTATTAATATGTTAAAAATAATTTTTTCATGTAATGTATCAAAATTATTATTCCTTATGATTGAGTTAAATTTGTTTCAAGTATTTTGTAATAATATTTAATCAGCTATTTAGATAATTTGGTTTTTGCCGGTTTTTACCAGGTTTTTGCCACTGTCCTGGCAAAAACCCCTTTTTGCCGGCAAAAATTCCAACCCTGGTTTAGAATATACCAATGTCTTCCGTGAAGGCAAGGTAACTAATTTCTGGAGTATCTCTAAGAGTCATTTATCGTAATATTGGGCCAGAAGAAGTAGTTCAAGGGAAATGCTTAACACTGAGAATTTTATGGATATAGCCACTGTAAGATTCCAACAAATTCAATGATATTTTTAAAGCAATGATTGTATGTGCAATGGCAAAATCTGGATTAATATTTTCACCCTTGAGCAGAATAAAAG